GCGAGAGCCCTTTACAATCTGGTTAATTGATGCATTGATGATTGACTATTATTGATTATTGGTATTGCATGATAATTTCTTATTGGATTGTTTTAATGTTATACAATTGCAGCTTGTAAAAGTATAACAATATTAAATTGATGAATCGAGCAGATGTTAATTTGATATTAAAGGCTATTTTCAATAAGAACTTAGATCTAGTAAATTGCGAGAGCCTGTTAGATCTATATTGATTAATAAATTGCGAGAGCCTGGTAATCATGTTATCTATGCCTTGTCAATGATTGATTACCCTGATTTACCCTGGAGTATTATTTATTGGTGAACCTATGCCCTAGATCCTTTATATATTATTTTCTCCCTATTCCTACTCTTTTTAGTTCGGTTTCTTATTCAACTTTAAATATTGGTTACTTAAATAGTTTAGATTATATTAATAAATTAGGAGTAAAAAGACTAGTTTCCCTGTGGAGATCGACCCTACTTCCCTATCTACCTTAGTTAGTGATTTAGGTAATTATTTTTTATTAGGGGATACGACTTTACCCTGTGAAGGAGAAAAGGAAAGTAGTACCCTTCCTTTGATTCAACATTGGACTGATGCGAAGATTAAGAAGCGGATCAATTTGGAGATCAAAGCTGGTGATTTTGGGCAGGGACTATTGGATACCCTTACATATCCTATTTCACAGCCTCAAATTAGGGATCCTGTTGTTAAGAAAACTTGTAGTCAGGTGGCTTCTACAAGTGGTAGAAGTAGCTGCATTCTTGCATTTGAGCTTCCGGAAAATGTGATGACTGATGATGAAATTAAAGAAATTTCAACTGATGTAAGTGTTCTTTTTATATATATATATATATTTAGTTATTATCTCTTTATATGCACTAAAGTTACCCTTTATGTGCACTAAAGTTACCCTAAATATTCAGTTAGACACTGATGTAAGTGTTCTTTTATTTATATATATATTTAGTTATTATCTCTTTATATGCACTAAAGTTACCCTTTATGTGCACTAAAGTTACCCTAAATATTCAGTTAGAAGGGTTACTTTATGCATTTAAAAGGGTAACTTTATGCATAATAAAGGGTAACCTTATGCATTTAAAAGGGTAACCTTATGCATTTAAAAGGGTAACTTTATGCATATATCATGAATTTTCATTTGTTTTTTATTTTTATTTGTTACATTTGTATAGTTTCTTATTAGTTCATATGTTTGCAGGCTGTTCATGAAACATTTCTTTTGGTTAAAAGAAATATGGATGTATTATTGTTGGATTAGTCACAGGGTTTTCAAGCCTTGAGTGATATGATTTCTTCTCGCAGAACTGTTTCATTATCTTCTGATGATGCTGTTGCAGTTTCTCAAACTCAACAGCTACTCTCTGATCCTCATTACCTGAAGCTTTTAGATGGTTTAATTGAGGAGTGTAATAAGATGAAGTCTGTTCATGAATTGCTTCGTGATTTTTATGAACCTGAAGGTCATAACAATGATGTTCCTGGAGATGAAAATGCACAAAATTTGAATTTGAATAGGTCTGAGGATGATGTCAATGGTAATGGAAAAGGTGTTGTGATGAATAGGTCTGAGGATGATGTCAATGGTAATGCTGGGCCTTCTGTAGAAAATGCTTCTAGAAGTATCATCAGAGGCAATAAATCTTTGTGCTCACTCGACTGTGGGCCAGTAGGTGTGGATGTGCCTTTTCTTACACTGTTTTTGAAGGCTAATGCTCGGATTTTCAAGAATTTGCCTAAGTTACATTTGGAAATTCTTGATTATTGTTTACTGAAGGATGATTCAATGATGCGGAAGTTAAGTGTCATTTTTTATGATAATTATATTTTTATATGTTTTTTTCCTTTATTTTTTTAATTCTTATCTTATTTTTTATTGTTGCAATGAGAACCTTGTTACTTTTGGGATGAATTTTTTAATTCCAAGAGAAGACATGGTGTCCCTGGTAGCTCCACTTAGAATTCGATGGTACATCATTGATTGCTACCGTCTGTATTTGAATGAGAAGGCATGTTTTGATTCTGGTCCTCGAAAATTCTTCTTTGGTGTGAGGCAAAGTGTAAGTAATTTGATTTTTTTTTTATATTTAAACACATTTACTTTATATAAATATATAAACAAGTTCTCATACTTTTAATAGTTTGCATTCTTGCATGTTTGTGAAAACATTGGCAAAGGTGATATTTCACAAGCTGTTAATGATTTGCACGATTTATGGGAAGGTTGGGTGAGCTATGAGAATCCTGAATGTGATATTATGGATGCTGAACTGGTATATTTCATGCTAAATTACTATTAAAACTTTAAAAAAGTTCTGTTTTTGTGTTACTCTGTCTAAATCAGTGTTTTAATTTTTCTGTTTCAGATCTATTTTCCTGTTCTTGTTGAGAATCACTACATTTTGTTTGTTATTGATCATACAAAAGAGGTGGTATATTATCTTGACAATATTATCTGGCGTGATGATGCTCTTGAATATACCAAAGAATTGTTTTCACACTTGGTATGTTTATGTTGATTCATTGTTATGTGTCTGTTTACTTATTGTTTCCATTTAATTTTTTTTGTTTTTATTTTATTCTAAACTTTTATATTTTATGTCAGTGTGATCAAATGGGTGTTTTTCTCGGAAAAAGAAATCATCCAAAGAGTTCTCAGCTACCTTCTTATGGGTTTCAAATTGTTGAGTTGGAATGGAGAAAAGAAAAAGTTGACAATTTGGACTGTGGGGTGTTTGTCATGTATCACATGCTCCATTTTGTTGGCGAATCGTTCAAATTAAATGAACTGAAAACAGTAATTATTCATCTATTTTGTCTGTAGTTTTTCCCTTTCTAATGCTTTTATTAATTACATATTGATAAGTTTTTTTTTTTTTTTTTTTCTGTTGTGAGATTATTGGGAGAAAATTTCTGCGAGGTGAGATCTGTACCACACTGGTGCTGTGTGATTTGAATGAATCTAGGAATGATGTGTTGTCATAATTAGAGAAGTTCAATGAGAAGAAGAAAGATCTTGCTTATTGCCAGGGAATTGAAATGAGAAGAAAGGATGCAATTGCTGCAAAGAAGAAGAAAGAAAATGAAGAAAGAAAAATGGCAGCCGAAGTAGAAGCAAAGGCAGAGGCAGAAGAAGAGAATCCCAAAGGAAAAAGGGCAAAAAAGAAGACAGACAAGTACACTCCTTCTAAAGGGTGAAATGATTGTTAGTTATTAGTTGATTAGGTCTAGGAGTATTTTTTGAACAATGAAAAAACTTAATGTATGTGCATATACATCAAGTTAAATGATGTAATTAAACTTAGTGGATAGTTTTTTATTCTTTTGGAATACTGATGTATGTGCATACATTAAGTAATTTGAAAGGTTCTTATGTATGTTTTTTATGGGGTCACTTTTGTGCATAAAAAGGGTTACTTTGTAGCATAAAAAGGGTTACTTTTGTGGGTAGAAATAATAAGTTTATACATGATAAGCTATACTTTTGTGGGTAGATAGGGTAACTTTTATGCTTGAAAAGGGTAACTTTTATTGATAAAAGGGGTAACTTTTATTAACAGAAAGGGTAACTATTACCAAAGAAAAGGTTGATTTAGTGGATAGAAAGGATAACTTTTATGCATGAAAAGGGTCACTTTTATGCATGAAAAGGGTTACTTTTATACATTAAAAGGGTAACATAAGTTGATGTGTTCCAACAATTAAACATGTGCTAATAAAAGTGTCAATCACATTTTCATTAAACTAGTCATAGAGTAAAAAAACAAAAGAAAAATAGTTTTACAATACAAGGTATATTAATAGTTAGGTGTCTTTGATCCAAATTCTGAATTTGGAGGTGGCAGTGCTGGTTTTCTTTTTCTCTTGCTTTTTTCAAGTCCTCCTTTTGCTCTCTTGCTTCTTCCTTTTGTTACAGCCCTTTTAGGATCAAGTATTATTGGTACACTTGTGCTTGTACTCGATGCTGAAGAAACGTCACTATTGCTTTGAGTGCTGTCTGCCACATCAGGAATGTTAGAAGCAACTTATGCACTTTCTTTCTGAGCAGCACTAGCAAGTAAGTCTTCCACCATTTTAAGACTGTTTCTGAAGCTTTCTTCCATAAATGCTCTTGTCTCTTCATTTTCTTGACTTTTTAAGATTAGATTGTAGTATTTCCTCATCATTGTTTGCCTCCATGGAATATATTGTTGTTTAGGATCCTGATTCTTCAACCTATCCCATGCCTCTGTTTTTGCAAAATTAGTCCATCTTTTTGAAACATACTTGTCTGGTATTCTTGTTACTGAATGCAAATGTAGAATTCTGATGCAATGATAACATTACCATCCAGATGCTTCAAAATTTTTGCAAGTACACCATACAGTTTGGCTCTCATGTATATAGTTTACTTGATGTGCAGACCATGGCTTGTCTTCTAGTGTTACTTGATAAAGTAGGCATTCTTCATTACTGCCTAACATCTGAACAATTGTTGCCATAGAGTATCCAAACTCCTCTTCAAAATCTCTAAAGAGTGATAAAGTGAAAACCTGTACATCAAAATCATGTAGCTTCAATTAAATTGCCATATATTAGGTGTAATTTATGTACTTGTCAGTTAACTTTTTACCTATGCAGCATGCTTTAGCATTCCAGATAGAGGCAATGAAGTGAATGCTATTGACTTGCTACAGGTAAACTCATCATATTTCTCTGTGCTTCCCCAACGATTAGTTGTCTTCTTAAATATGGTATAAAATTCTGTCAAAGTAGTTTCTTTACTTGCTCTGAATCCTATAGCATGATTAGTGCTTTCACTCCTTTGTGACGATAAGATCCCTGCTGAAAAGAAATCTCTACTAAGGGCAGGACACCATTTGTCTTTCAGCTCATACACTCTTTTGTACCAATAGTGTTTTGTCAACTCATATTTCTGCAACATTGCCTGCCACTTTGCTTCGAATTCTTGTTCTGTCACACACATCTTTAAGCACTAGTTGAATGCAAATTTGAATTCTTTGTCTTTTTTAAGAGCTCCAAATCTGGTTATGGCATTTTGCTCCAAATGCCATATACAAAGTCTATGCCTTGTATTAGGAATCACCTGCATTGAAAATAAAGGGGTCACTTTATGCTGTTAAAAGGGTTACTTTATGCACTAAAAAGGGTAACGTTATGCAGCTAAAAGGGTAACTTTATGTGAAAAAGGAAAACTTTATTGTCAGAGCTCAAATCTGTAAGATGTCAATATAAATCTTTTACCTCCAGAATTGCATTTGCCATTGCTTGGTCCTGGTCAGTGAATATTGAAGTTGGTTTTCTATCCTCCATAGCTATGAAGAAGGTTTGTAGTAACCACACAAATGAATCTGTCGTTTCATCCCCAATAAAAGCACAAGCAAACATACAATTATGCCAGTGGTTATTTATGCCAACAAATGGAGCACATATAAGATTATATCTGTTGGTTCTGTATGTTGTATCAAAGACAAGAACATCTCCATATATCCTATAGTCTTCTAGCATCATTGCATCTCTCCAAAAGATATTGCAAATTCTTCCTTCTTTGTCAAACTTCACTTTAAAAAAGAAGTTTGGATTCTCTGATTGTTCCTGTCTTAAAATGTTCACTAAAGTTTGAGCATCTCCAGCCTCAATTTGTTCCATTCTTAACCTTGAGCAGAAATTCAGGTGATCTACAACACTATGGCCTACATTCTGTTCTCCTCCAGCCTCTGTAGCCATGTAATTGTAAGTGTCCATTGTAGTTAGACCTGAAGATTTCATTGTTTTTATTGCTTCAGCTTTTTCCTCTGTCATTTTTCTTTCAGAACGATGCAAATAATGCCACTGTGGCTTTGTTAGCTCGTGGTTATGCTGAATAACATGAGCCACCACCTCAAACTGTCCTTCTTTATTCACTTTTGCTCTTATGCATGCCTTGCAATTCGATCTTGTAATGGATACTTGTCTTGGCTTTCTTGTTTTTACATTTACATCCTCTTCATCAACCATTTCAACTAACTTTGTTTTCTTCTGACCTGAATGTCTCTTTCCCTCAGCAGAACACACATAGTTTTTCTCAGTTACTATTTTTGTGTGTTGTTTGAATCTAGTTGTATGTTTTCTTATTGAAAACCCTAGTATAGCAGCATGTTTTTCATACAAATCCAAAATTTCTTCAAAAGTTTCTCTTACCACACCAACAAATGATCCTCTAAGATCTAAACCAGAAGCATCAATTGGATTTGTATCTGTTATTTAATACACACAAATCAGATAATAACCACAGACAGCATAAAAAAAGGGTAACATTCGTTTGAAAATAGGGTAACTTTTATGCATGAAAAAGGTAACATTTAGGCATTCAAAGGGTTACTTTTTGCATACAATCTGAATTTTCAGCATACAATCTGAGTGTAACATTTGTGCATAAATAGGGTCACTTTTAAGCATGAAAAGGGTAACATTTAGGCATTCAAAGGGTTACTTTTTGCATGCAATCTAAAAAGTTCTGCATTCAATCTGAGGGTAACATTTAGGCATAAGTACGGTCACGTTTATGCATGAAAAGGGTAACAATTATGTATTCAAAGGATTACTTTTTGCATACAATCTCAAAAATTTATAGAAATTACCTTCAGTTGCATTTGATTTGGTTGTTTGTTCTGAATTTGAATCAATTGATTTATCAGGAACCACTTGATTTTCTGCATTGTGAATTGCGTCTTCTGCATTCTCAATTGCTCCATCTGCATTATCAATTGCTTCATCTGCATTGTCTGGATTGTTGAATATTGGTACGAATTCATCTCCAAAACAATTAGTTTCTTCTTCTTCTATAATCGATCGATTTAAATCGATTTCAAATTCAGTCTCAATTTGCCTCTGTTTTTGTAGCAATTCGTGAATGAGATTGCTGCAATTTGTTGTATCGAAAGTCAAATTCTCCATTGATGATCGAATTCTGCAATTTGTAAGTTTTCTCACTTTCTTTGTCCTTAATTGATGATCGAATTCTTCTATTTGTGCGTTTTCTCACCTTTTTTCTCCTCGATTGATGATCGATTTCTGCAATTTTTGCGTTTTCTAACCTTTTTTCTCCTCGATTGATGATCGATTTCTGCAATTTTTGCGTTTTCTAACCTTTTTTCTCCTCAATTGATGATCGTTTTCTGCAATTTTTGCGATTTCTCACTTTCTCTCTCCTCAATGGATGATCGATAGCTGCGTTTTCTCACTTTCTCTCTCCTCCATTGTTGTTCTGCGTTTTTTTGATTTTTAGGTATGAAATTCCGCGATTTAAAAAAAAAAACAGTAAATGGATTGCACGTGCGAAAAACCCGATGTAAAGTAAAAATATTGTACACCGGGTACATGCAAATGGGATTGTTTTTCTTATGATCTAGATTGTGTAATTATTAGTGTAAAAAACTTCCCTTTCTTATGATCTAGATTGTCTGATTGTGTAAAAAATTTCCTTAACAATTTGTCAATTTATACAACTATAGAAAAGTTATAAAAAAAAAAAAAAAAAAATCAACCTCTCAAACGGTCAGTCTAATTTCTCAGCCTCCTCTCTCTCTCTCTCCAATCCCCGCTACACGCTTCAGCCAATCTCAAGATCACAACGGCGGAGACTCAGACGCGAGAGAGAGAGGCGGAGAGAGAAACTCACCTTCGCGCTACTTCTCCACTTTCCATTTTTTCTCTCTCTTCAATTCTTCTTCATTTTCCCCAATTCAATTTCCCCAATTCTCAAACCCTAATTTACTCCTTCAAACCACTTCCCACGCTACTACGCTCTTCGTAATGCATAATTAGATTCATTCACTTGAATCCAAGGTTGTAGATTGTCAAATTGGGGGTAATAATGGCGGAATTAGGGCAACAAACGGTGGAGTTTTCGACACTGGTGAGCCGTGCGGCGGAAGATTCGTTTATTTCTCTTAAGGAATTGGTTGAGAAATCTAAGTCTTCTGATATGTCTGATTCTGAGAAGAAGATTAATCTTCTTAAGTTTATTGTTAAGACTCAGCAGCGTATGTTGCGGCTTAATGTTCTTGCTAAATGGTGTCAACAGGTTAGTTAGTTAGTTAGTTTGTTTGTTCTTCTTCTTCTTTTTTTTTTTTTTTTTTACTCTTTTGTTGTTGATTATGATCAATTTGATTTCAAGATTGTGGAGTAGAGATGAATTTCTGGGTTTTAGACTGTTGCTCGCGACTCGAATGTTAGTTTAATATTGGAAATGATATGGGATTGGATTGCAATGCGGCTGTAACTATATTAGGATGAGTTAATTGTTGGGGAGTTGGATGTTAGTTTGATTTTGGATTTTAAGGTTGTAGAGTAGAGGTTAATTTTTGGGTTTTAGACTGTTGCTTGCCACTCAAATGTTAGTTGATTTTTGGGATTGATATGGGATTGGATTGCAATGCTGCTGTAATCTATATTAGGATGAGTTAATTGTTGGGGAGTTGGATGTTAGTTTGATTTTGGATTATAAGATTGTAGAGTAAAGGTGAATTTTTGGGTTTTAGTTTGATTTTGGAATTTAGTGATTTGAGAAAGTTCGGTATTTTTACGGATTTTGGTAGATGGGTGATGAATATGCGATTTATTTCCAATATTTTTTCTAAATGTAATGTTGCATCTTAATGTTCTTGCTAAGTGGTTTCAAATGGTTAGTTTCTTAATCATTTGTTGTTTATTATGATAAATATGATTTCAAGATTGTAGAGTAGAGGTGGATTTTTGGGTTTTAGACTGTTGCTCGAGACTCATATGTTAATTAAAGTTTTGGAATTGATATGGGATTGAAATATAATGCTGCTTTAATTTAGATTAGGGTGAATTTATTGTTGGGGAGTTGAATGAATCTTATTTTAAATTTGGAATTTAGTGATTTGAGAAGTTCGGTTTTTTTTTTAATGGAATTTAGCTATTATGAGGTTTATTTCCAAGATTTTGAAAGTTCCCATTAATGTTTTTCTACATTGTTAGGTTGCTCCATAACGTTCTGGCTAAGTGGTGTCAGCAGGTTAGTTTATTAGTTTTTGGTTGTTGAGTATGATCAATTTGATTCCAAGATTGTGGAGTAGAGGCGACTTGTTGGGGTTTAGACTGTTGCTTGTGACTCGAATGTTAGTTGAATTTTGAAATTGTTATGGGATTGAGTTGCAATGCTGATTTAATCTATATTAGGGTGCTTAATTGTTGGGGAGTTGAATGTTAGAATGATTTTGAAATTTAGTGATTTGAGAATGTTTGGTTCTTTTTCGGGTTTTGGAGATGGTTGGCAAATATGAGATTACTTTTCAAGGTGTCAAAAGTACCAATGTTTTCCTGCTATGTATAGGCGTATTCCACCCTCATCCTGTAACATACATGGATGAAATGATTTGAGAAAGCTTGGATCATTTTGGCTTGTTTGATGATTATCATCTAGGTTGCATTTGGTAATTTCGAATTGATTTTAATGTGCCGAACATAGTTTTAGAAAGTAAAATTGCAAGATTCAATTTTACGAATAAAATGTCTTGAAAATTTGAAATTGAAGACCTGACCTTGAGAGTGTGGTACAATATCACATGTTTTCTGGAAGGATAGTACAATATTACATTGGAGGCAACATTTTGTTATCTTTTTTAATATTGTTAATAATGAGCTTAGCTGAAGACAAGGGGAAAGGGGCTTAATATTGATGTAATGGGTAAGAGAGCTGAAGTACTCCAGTGGGCAAAATCTCAACCTAATGGGAGTTTTTTTTTTTTTTTTTTTCTTTTCTTGTAATCATTTTTTTAAATTTTTTTTATCAAAAAAACTTGAACAAGGTAGCTGAAGTTACCATGCTTTTATGAGGCCTATATAGAATCAAACTAGGATTTACCATGATCTAAAGCTGGAAAGAAACCTGAAATATGAGTTGCATTGATGTCTCAAGTAGCCATTCTCTTATAATCAGCACCTTCTTCTAAGATAGCAGAAGAATTTACGCCAATTTGTAAAACAATTCTGGACTTAGCTCAGTCCTTATAGAAGCTTTTATGAAATTATGTAATGCCTATAGGTTTTATTAGGGTATTTTATAAAAGCCATTTTGGTTTTGAGTGGAATTGTGAATTCATGGCAACTGTTATTGGATGCCGTATTTTAATGATCTGAATCTTTCAAGCTCAGATCCAATTCAATATTTGAGTTTGAATGTCTACGTTTTTGTTTTCGTCTTTCTTTTCATCGTTAAGATTTTAGAATATTAGTCACTTGTTTGTACCTCAAATTTAAACTAATGTCGCTTCCTTATTTTTTCTTTTTAATAAAAATTTTACTTTTGACTTTCATACTCCCTTCATGTACATTTTTTTTAACCTTTCCATTAAGATAATTTTTTAATTTTTAATTTAATTTAATTTTATTTTTGTTTTTGTTTTGTTTTTATTTATTTTATCTTCCTACTTTGCTTTATTCCTTTTATGGTACAGAAGATTTTCACCTTTATCATTCCTTTTCCCACTAAAACCATATAGTAATACCAATGTTTCTAAACAACTTTTTCTTTCATTACAAAATAAAACAACTCTCTCTCCTACCTTAAAAGTAAAAAAGGGACCCACTTTCCGTGTACTACTTCATTATATAAACAGTAAGTAGTAAGTAGGAATATATGAAAAGTAAGTAGAAAGATAAAAAAAGAACAGTGGGAGTATGCTAATGCACAACTTTGACCAATAATGTTATTGTATTGTTGTAATTATATAATTATATTTTGTGACAAATCAAATTATTTTTTACATAGTAATAGTTGTTTATATACATATATTAGCAGAAAAATATAGTTAAAGCAAGAAATGTCATAGTGCAAAGGTCAATATGGAACGTTAAAAAAATGACAGAGTAGGAAATAAGACCTATAAAAGCTCAGTTTTTATTACGGAGTATTAATTATATTTTCGGTTGCTTTACTTGCTTATTTTAATTTAATATCATCACTAACGTTCAATCCTGTTTTTTTTCATTTTTTTAGGTTCCGTTGATACAATATTGTCAACAACTTGCATCCACTTTATCTAGCCATGATACATGTTTCTCACAGACAGCGGATTCACTATTTTTTATGCATGAAGGGCTCCAGCAAGCACGTGCACCTATATATGATGTGCCATCAGCAATTGAAGTCCTTCTTACTGGATCGTATGAGCGTTTGCCTAAATGTATAGAAGATGTGGGCATGCAAAGTTCCTTGAATGAGATCCAACAAAAGCCAGCTTTAAAAAAGCTAGACATTCTTGTGCGGTCGAAATTGGTTGAGACTTCACTTCCGAAGGAGATATCTGAGGTTAAAGTTTCAGACGGTACAGCACTTTTACGTGTAGATGGGGAATTTCAGGTGCTAGTTACTCTTGGTTACAGAGGTCACTTGAATTTATGGAGGATATTACATATGGAGCTTCTTGTTGGTGAGAGAAATGGGGCCATAAAGCTTGAAGAGTTGAGACGATTTGCTCTGGGGGATGATTTAGAACGAAGAATGGCTGCAGCAGATGAACAACAAAATCCATTTATGATATTGTACTCAGTTCTGCATGAGTTTTGTGTGGCGCTGGTCATGGATACTGTTATAAGACAGGTCCATGCTCTTCGTCAGGGAAGATGGAAAGATGCAATTAAGTTTGAACTTATCTCTGACGGTAGCACAACGCAAGGAGGGAGTGCTTCAGCCACACAAATAAGTCAGGATGGAGAATATGAGACATCTGGTCAACGCACTCCAGGGGTGAAGATTGTTTATTGGTTGGATTTAGATAAGAACTCTGGTACGTCTGATGGCGGAATATGCCCATTCATCAAGATTGAATCAGGTCCTGATCTGCAGATCAAATGTATACATAGTACATTTGTAATAGATCCATTAACAGGCAAGGAGGCCGAGTTTTATCTAGATCAGAGCTGCATTGACGTGGAAAAGTTGTTGCTTAAAGCTATACGATGCAACAGATATACACGTTTACTTGAAATTAATAAAGAGCTTACTAAGAATGGTCAAATTTTTCGAGGCACTGGTGATGTTCTCCTACAGGGTATCATGGATGAAATTGGTGTGGACCATAAGAAGGTTAGTAAAACATGTTTTATGTCTTTACTGGGTGTGTTGGTAGTGTTTACAATATATGATGTCAATACCTGTTCAATTGGAAGACCCTGTTCTTGATATCGGCTGAACTAAAATCATTTGTACTGAACTAAAAGTATTTTTTTTTTGAACTTATATTATTTTAACAGATTAAAACTTACTGTTTTTAATTCTATACTATGTTGTTCTTTGAAGTAACTGCTTTCTACTAATTTAAACTTATTTTTGCAAAATTTAACTTACTTTTCCACCAAACTTATATATGCTGATTTTTTTTTTATTTTTTTATTTTTAAAGTTGAGGAGAACAGGGCCCAATAGTGTCAGGTTGGGGTGGGTTTTAAGTTGGGCATAGGCGGATGTTTGATGATTCCAAAGGAAAAAAAACTTGGATGGTCAATCTTCATGTGCTGACCTAGGAAACTATAACCTTGGGTTTAAGCTCACTTGATGACTTTGCTTCAATATATTCAAGGCAATATGAAATTATGGGGAAAAAAATCGTAACAATATTGTTTACATGAATTAGAGGTGGAAAATCTGACTACAACACTTATAGGTTGGCTTTTGATTCCTCTGGACAAGTTTTTTCAATTTAGAGAGGAGACAAGGAGAGTGATTGGAAAAACGATAATTGAGGGCTGTAGGTTCTATTCTTTTAACTGAAAATCTCAATTCTCCCAAGGCTGGGTCACTTGACCCTTCATCCTCCCAGTCTGTTACTCAGTTGCACAAATGTGCCATTGCCCATTGCAGAGGCCATTGTTGCAAAAGTGCTTTGGATACAGCTTTCAAGCATATTTATTAACTTGTGTAGCTGACTTTAATGAAATGACTTGCTGGATTGATTGTGACCTGTTATTTTCCTGGACACTTGATTATTTGTTATTATTCTTGCTTGTAAATGAAGACTTTCAATAGTTGATTCTCTTTTGGTTTAATCTTTGTAAAACTTACATTCTTCAAAGATCCATTGTACAGGGTAATCTTGGGCTGAATCATGTCCTGAAATTGAGTTGAATCTATTATGAGGATAACTTCTTTTATGATATCCTGTACACTGAATGGTTTGTATCAATGTAAATGAGATTTTGCACTGACTTTTGTTTCTTTCCGTACTCTGAAAAAGAGTGTATTTGTTGTTGATTAATGGTGAAGCTTTTGTTATTGGCTTGTGCTTCCTATATAATGATTGTTTTCAACTTGAAGCTTTAGTGATCAATTATTTGAACCTTAGGCTCCTATGGAACTTGGAGCATGTTAAGTGTTGAATGTTCATACCTTGTCTCTTTGTGGTGCTTAGTATGGTAAGGGGGTATTTTGTAAGAGGTATTAATAGACAGAAAAATACTTTCTTTTTGAGTGTTTCTGTACATCTCATTTGATAGGTTCACCCCAATTCAGGGCTTCCTTATTTCTTTCATCCCTCCTAGGCTTTTTATTAATCTCTTAGGCTTTATAATTAAAGCTATACTAATCCATCAAGTGACGCTATGCTCCGTCACCATCAATCCTTTCCTGCCTCCATTTCTTGGCTGCTTCCACAAGGTCTCTACATATCACTACCATTGAGACCACCCTCATAGCCACCTGCTCATAAATTGCTGTCATCCACTCATCACTCTCTATATCCTTATACATACATCCTTACCAACCACCTCCCTTAAATTGGCCTTAAACAGGAATATCCTGGTCACCACAGCTATAGATTCACATACCTTTTGACTTCAAATTTCTTGTTAATGATGGGAAAGTATGACACTTTGTTAAGAGCTTTGATGGTCCAATCAGACCATGTAATGGTCAACTGCAGCCTATTGTAGGAGGGGAGGATGGCTTAATTTTAATTGCAAAGTGAGTGGTGGTGAGAGGAAAGTGAAGAAGAGGATGGTGGTCTAATTGCAAAGGACAATGCTGAGCATTGGTCATGGAGGAGAATGAGTACTTGGTCTTCGTTGGGAGGAGACAGAGGATGGGATAGCATGTCTATCTGTAGGAGAAGGAAGGAGGCACTGAAAGGTTTGTAACATTTTTTGGGATGGGGAGAGGATTAGGGTTTTAAAGATTCTTTATGCTTACTTAACATGATAGGAGGAAATGATTGTATTTCCCTTTTAAATATGGTGATTCAAGCTCTCTTTCTTGAATATTAATTGCTTTCCTTACAGACTTTTTTTTTTTTGGTTGCCTAAGTACCTTTAAACACACCAAACTGACACTGATTTATTTTCTGCTTATGGTTTTTTTTTTTTTTTTTTTTTTTTTTTTTTTTTTTTTGGGTATTGGTATAATAGCTTTTGGGTCCTTTCTCAAGTATTTCTATTTTATTATGCTGTTTGGTGTAATACTTTGGGTTGTATGGTTTGAGTGGTTTCTTGTCCATTGTGGTCAACATGTTATGGTCACATACTTTACTTAGTGATTGATTATTGTTTTGTAGAAAGATGCAGCGTCTGTTGCAAGGGAATCTGATGGACAAGAAGTACTATATGTGCGTGCTTACGGTTCATCATTTTTTATTCTTGGAATTAACATAAGGTATTCTCCCTGTCTCTCCCTTTTATTAAGAGTACAAATTATGTTATTATAATGGATTTTCCGTTTTTTAGCTTCTAGTTTCCATCCTTTTAACCATGTTGGTGTTGCTTCATCTGATAGATTAAACAAAATTGAACTCTTGCGACAGTTTGGTAAAAAAAAATGACTGCGGTCGCAATTTTGTTTTTTTTTTTTTTTTTATAAAAAAATCAATTTAGGCGACATTTGGATCAAAAAAATCTATTATTTCCAGCAAACTCCGCAAAATGCCAAATTTAATTCATTTTTGTGTTTTTCTAATTTATTTTTCCCATTTTAAATTTTCCATTTATACATCATCCCTTTTTATTTCGCTAGATCTCTAATTACCCAATTTTTTTTCCGACCCCACTTTTATTTCCTTAATAAGGGGTTTGAAAATAAAGTGGAAATTGATATTTAAACCCGTTTTTTCTCCAACTTTTTATTTCCCTGAAAAGGGTTGGAAATTAAGATGCAAAAGTAATTGGGAGAAATAACATAAAACTACGAAGACAAAATTAAATTAGATATTTATGAGTAGTTTGTTAGAAAGTTTTGAATTTGTAGAGTTATTGGATGGTTCAATTATGGATGAAATTTCTGTGAATTTTTGAATTTTATTGTTCAGCCCACTTGGGAAGTAGGGATGTCGGACTTGTTGCAAGATGGTTGTGTTTTTTTAGGTTGATTCAATTTATCTTAGAATACTACTTTTGTGTGATCCTTTTTTAAGTTGAAGTTTATTTATTTATTTTTGTAAATCTTCTAACTGCTTCTTTGAATGGTACCATTTTGTTACTTCTTGGCAGAAATGGACGTTATCAGCTACAGTCGTCCAGAAATATCATAACTCCGTCAGTATTGTCAGATTCCGAAGATTCTTTAAACCAGGGATCTCTCAGTGCTGCTGAAATTTTTATTAATTTGCGGAGCAAATCCATTCTTCACTTGTTTTCATCGATCGGCAAGTTCTTGGGCCTTGAGGTAATTTTTTTTTTAAATTTTTTTTATGTGCAGTTAGATTTATGAATTGAGTGGACTATATCTTATGTAAGGATTTTTGCCGATATATAATGAGCTTTTTGTTCCTTAAAATTAAATCTTAAAATTGACTGTAAGATTATTTTCTTTTGGGGTGCGTGTGACAAGTGCTTGCTGACCTTATAATACACTCTCTCCGTCCCTAAAAGAATGACCCTTTTGGCCAAATTTTAATCCCAAAATATTTATCCCACTAGATGAAGCCCGTGCGATGCACGGTTTGTTTGATTTTTTTTTTTTTTTTTTTTTTTTTTTTTGTATTTATGAGCCTTAAATTTGTTATATATTTAGATAAAATTCCTAATATTAAAAAATAATATATAGTATTTAATTTATTTAAACTTAAAAATCTCATTCGTCTGCTTACGTGGCATTTGAATTATTTAATTCTAAAAGAAATTAATAATCTCCTATTTAATTGGCTACTACTAAGATTTATAATCTTACATGGCGCACTAAGAAAATTAGATCCTATGTGGCTCTCTAAAAACTCGGGAAAAAAACTCCCCTTTATATATATATATTAGATTTCCATCAAAACACCCTCCAATTTACCATAATATTTGAGCAAAATTAGCTTCCCCATGTAAAATTTGTCTTTTCTTATTACGTTCTCTCTCATGTAATTTTACCTTTTCAATGTACTTTTATTAGTTTTCCCATACACTTGTACTTCCAACTTAAGTTTCTAAATACCCGTGAAAAATGCCCAAAAGGGTCATTATTTTAGGGACGGAGGGAGTACTTATATTTCCTTATTACCAAAGGATACCCTGATTTATTCTCCAATCCAAATGGCAGTTTAAACCATTGTATATTGGATAGATGCTTGTGAGCTAGACCAGGGCGTATGTACATAGCTAGAGGGCTCTAAGTCTTCCTGTAAATAGATTCAGTGAGTCTTATCAATAAATGGCCAACTTGTAAACCCTATGGCTCTCAGAATTAGGGGACAATTACCTCAATAAAAGAAGTGTTTTACCTGTATGAAATAAATATTTTCTTTTTTGGTTGTGATTTAAGTTTGGCAGAATCTTTAACCTAGAATTTTGAATGTGTTCTGATGTGCTGGATGAGAAGTTAAAAATTCAGTGATGTTGATTAAAGATCTTTATTGTTTTGGTTCTTCATATGCATGTTAGAAACGAGTTTGTATAGTACTATCTTTGCGTGCATTTGAAATTTTGTGGAAATCCCTTTTTGGGTATTAATAGTAGGGGTTATGCGAGTTTGTCTAAATCAAAAGTGGCTTTTGTCCATTTTGGACATAAGTCACCTTGGGTGGTACCAATAAGTATGGTGTTGGCACTAAAGTTGTCTTTATCAATTAGAAGATGATCTGAATTGGTACCATTAGACATTGTCTTGGTAGTCATGTTTATCAACAACACACTATTTAGTACCAGTAAGGGTCACTTGTGTCCTTTTCGCCTTTTTGGTAACAAGTGACTTTTGATTTAGAATTCCATGGGGTTATGCAATCTTTGTTCTTCTGTAATTGTGGTGGATCTTTTTTTTTTCTTTTGAATTCATAGATTGCACCTTTTGCTGTTGCAGGTGTATGAAAATGGTTTTTGTTCGGTGAAGGTTCCAAAAGATATCTTAATTGGTGCAGGCTTTTTGTTGATGGGATTTCCTGACTGTGGCAGTTCATACTTTTTGCTTATTCAATTGGATAAGGATTTTAAAATTGTCTTTGAATTGGTTGGAACACAGCCAGAACAACCTGGTAAATCGAACAACCTTGTTGCTGGGCGTGTTAAAAGAATTGATGTAGGTCAGATGCAGATGCTTGAAGATGAATTGAATTTGAGCATTCTTGATTTAAGAAAAGTGGGAGCTGGAAGCCACAATCAGCCTTCTAATTTTGGTCTGGTGTCTAATTATAGTCACGAGGGGTTGATGCCAGTTACTCTTTGTCCACCGCCATCAAGTTTTTCCTCTATCGTCGATGAAATCTTTGAGCTTGAGAAAGGAACATCTGCTCCTCATTCTGTTTCTAATGTTTCCTCATCAATTAGTACATCTGCTGCTTCTCATTTGGGCTCTGTACCTATGAATCTCCACTCTTCTAGAGTTGGAATTGGTTCATCAACACAGGAGGAAAATGCCCAAATGTCACAGATCAATCCTGCTATCAAATTTTCACCCCACTATAGTGGTTCCTTATATTCAGCAGCCAATGTCAAAGGATTAAGTCAGTCAACTTCTGTTAGTTCACTAACTTTTGCTCAGCAGAGAAATAGTGCAACACAGAAACTCTCAGTTTCCAAGTCCGAGCAGGACCTTGCTTCTCTTAGGTCACCGCAATCAGTGGAAGTTAGTTCTTTTAGGTCAATGGATGAAGATCATTTGAGGTCTGTTAATGGAAAATCACAAGATGCAATCTCTAGTAGGTCATGGCGAATTTCGTCTCTACAATCCACTGGCGTCCGTGCATCAGCGTCTGATGCTAATGGAATTGCACTTAAATCCTGGGCTGCTACTCCCATATGTAAGATTATCTACCATTATCCTCTTGTTTGATTTTGTTTAGAGTTGTGTTATATCTTCTTTCTTTCTTTTTTTTTTTTTTTTTTTTTTATAGCTAGATTAATGTTAATACGTAGTTAGATCAACATGTACAGATGCAGGTTGCAGAACTGCTTCAGAACATGATAAGGATTCTAGAAAAAGGAAAGTTTCAGATATGCTGAATTCGTTACCATCACTTTGGGGTCTTGTTGATGGAGTTTCTAAGCGGAGAAAATTATTGAATGACCAGCATTCAGTTAACTCTGATATCCCATTGAATACAATTTGTAATCCTGAAGGATACACTTATGGTGATCTCTTAGCTGAAGCAAACAAGGGAAATGCACCTTCAGGTGTATATGTATCAGCACTGCTCCACGTGGTTAGGCATTGCTCTCTTTGTATCAAGCATGCCATGCTAACTAGTCAGATGGAGGCTCTAGACATTCCATATGTTGAAGAAATAGGTCTTAGAAATGCAACTGTAAACATTTGGTTTAAGCTACCATCTGCTAGGGGAGGTTCATGGCCACACATCTGCTTACGTCTTGGAAAACCAGGAAGCTTGTGTTGGGATGTGAAGATTAATGATCAACATTTTCGAGACCTGTGGGAACTTCAGAAAGGAAGCAGTAATACACCGTGGGGAAATGGTGTTCGCATAGCTAATACATCTGATGTAGACTCTCATATCCGTTATGATTCTGAAGGAGTTGTTCTTATCTATCATTCCGTTGAAATGGATAGCATTAAGAAGCTTGTAGCAGACATTCATCGGCTCTCCAATGCAAGAATGTTTGCACTTGGAATGAGAAAATTGCTAGGTGTGAAGACAGAAGAGAAGCTAGAGGAAGGTGCCAATTCTGATTGCAAATCAGTAGTTGGAGCTAAGGGTTCTATTGATGGAGTGGACAAGTTCTCTGAACAGATGAGGAGGGCATTCAGAATCGAAGCAGTTGGGCTCTTGAGTCTCTGGTTTAGTTTTGGTTCTGGGGTCCTGGCTCGTTTTGTTGTTGAGTGGGAATCTGGAACAGAAGGATGCACAATGCATGTTTCACCAGATCAGCTTTGGCCTCATACCAAGGTAGGAATATTTATTCATTGGTTTGTGGTTTTTCTCTTCTGCTCTGGCCTTTTGTCTTGACTTGTTGAAGTAACATTTTAAAATTATCAACTTCTCATTTTATTTCTAGGCTTACTCTGTTAAGATATATTCCTTTTTTTTTTCTGCATTTATTTTGTTGAAATTTCCTGAAGTTGTAAGTTATTTTTTTTTTGTTTGGAAGTTTCTACATTTTGCTCTTGGGTGTTGAAGGGGATGATAATGAATTTAGACAATTTGCTATAACTGAGTTTTGACTAAAATTTATACAATTTGCTTTAACTAAGTTTGACTTGGTGAAAACTCAGAAAACACCTTAAGTTGAGCTCATATAGTGTCATGAAGCTCTCTTAAACACTTTAAAGAATGATTTTTTAGAAAGTAGATAGCATAGATACAAATGTCCAAATTTATGTAATTGGTAAGTGTGAATTAACAAATGGTGCAGTTAAAGAATAATGGGAGGAAAAACTGTTTTTTTAGGAAGATCTTAATTTCCACTAAATTCCACCTGGAATAAAGTAGTGGGATTTATTTGATAAAAAAGGGGCTTTTAATTGCAATGAAGATTGGCATGGCATATTCAAATTCAGATTTCATAAAATAAAGTTTACTGGATGAAAGTTGCATTACTTACATTATAAACATGGTCTGAACAGCTCTGGTTTAATGTATAAGAAGGATGGATTGAAGTTTGATGCGTTTTCTAGATGGTATATCCTCTACTTAAGGTAGATGTTATATTTGATGTAAGCTAGGAGAAATTTGGTAAAATATATTGCAAGAAATAATTTTATCGAGTTTTTACTTTAAAGTTACTCTCTCCATCCCTTAATTTTTGCTTCACTTTCCTTTTTGGGGTGTCCCTTTTTTCTGCTCCGTACCATATATAGTTATAGGGACCACAATTTTCCTCTCCCGAACAATTTTTTGGACCCACCATTATTCTCTCTCATCAAATTTTCTCAACCAAAAATTAATAATGTGAACATACACCTATGTGGAAAAAATTGGTGGACGGAGGGAGTATATTATAAACTTATACCTGTATGAGGTTGGATAAGCAGTGCGGTACACACATGGATTGGGGGACTGTATGGTGACAGTCTGAATTAATTGGTGTCAGCCTGGGGAAGAGATAGTGAATAATGGTGTGGTTCTTTTAATCAAATTCTTGTGGATAGTGTCTCTGGTGGCACACCTACAAGGAGTTACTTAAGTATATTTATTAGATTTTCTTGTATCTGAGTGAAAATCATTCAAGACTTTCATGTTATGAAGCATTTAAAATAATGTGTATGATTTGATTTATGCAGTTTCTTGAGGATTTTATAAATGGAGGTGAAGTAGCATCCTTGTTGGATTGCATTCGCCTCACTGCTGGACCTTTACATGCACTTGCTGCAGCAACAAGACCTGCTCGAGCTGGTCAAGCTGCCATTATTCAGGGAGTTGGCTCTACCGTGTCGGCTTCATCCAGACTAGGGACTTATGCTTCAGCTCTAGGAGCTCCTCCTAGTGGCCTGTCACCCAGTGTGGGTGGTCAAGGAATTGCTGGTTCTGCAGGAAATTCTGTTGCATCTGCCGCAGCAGCTGCTGCTGCTCTTGGAAATCATGCAGGTGTCATGTTGGCTGCTGCTGGCAGGGGTGGTTCAGGCATTGTTCCCAGCTCATTGTTGCCTATTGATGTTTCTGTTGTGCTACGGGGACCTTATTGGATAAGAATAATATACCGGAAACATTTTGCAGTTGATATGCGATGCTTTGCAGGAGACCAGGTTTGGCTTCAACCTGCCACTCCACCAAAGGGGGGCCCTTCTGTTGGAGGATCATTGCCCTGCCCTCAGTTCAGACCTTTCATCATGGAACATGTTGCTCAGGAATTGAATGGTTTGGAACCAAATTTTGTTGGTGGACAACAGACTGTTGGACTTTCAAATTCCAGCAATCTAACTTCAGGTTTAAGTCCGCCACTAACTTCTGTGAATGGAAGCAGAGTTAATCTACCAAGTACTTCTGGGCTTTCTAGGCCAGGAAACCAAGTTTCTGCTATGAATCGTGCTGGAAATCCTCTAACCGCACCATCAAACATGCCTGCAGCTGGTCCAGGATTGTCTTTACGGAGATATCCTGCTGCAGGTGGCGCTGCTCATGTTAGAGGAGAACTGAATACTGCTATTATTGGCTTAGGCGATGATGGTGGATATGGTGGTGGTTGGGTTCCACTTGTTGCTCTTAAAAAGGTTCTAAGAGGAATTTTGAAATACCTTGGGGTTTTGTGGCTCTTTGCACAGTTACCTGATCTTTTAAAGGAGATCCTTGGTTCAATATTAAAAGAAAATGAAGGGGCGTTGTTGAATTTGGATCAAGAGCAGCCAGCCTTGCGCTTTTTTGTGGGGTAAGATGTTCACAGTTTCTCTCTTATCCATACTTAATTAGTTTCTTCCTATGAAATTGTTGTACTCCCTTTGTTTTTAATTGATTGTGTGTATATATATGTTTGAAAACTAAAACTCAAGATTAATTTAACAAGATCCCACATGACTATGTTTTGAAGTATATGTGCATCCTCAATTCCATTTGCATTGGAATCTATCTAGATTCCAAATAGGACAATCAATAAGAAACGGAGGGGAGTACTTGAATACATGTCGGCAAACTTTAACTGATAGTAGGTGCTATTGAAAATGAATTTAGAGATCAAATATAACATTTTTCCTCTTTATTCTTTAATTATATACTTGTATGTATTTAATCAAGGAATGTAAATAAGATGTTAGGAAGTTTTATGGATCCTTTCAGTAAATAATTTGTCTATTTAAAATAGGAAACAAAATTGGGGCCACGTTTAGTACTTCCCATAACAACATTTCAAAACATGTCGCTATCTGATAGCTTTCAAACTATGTATTGCGTAGTAGTAATTCCCTTGTTTTGCATGTTCTTCAGTTTTAGTGAATGTGGTTGAAGTTAAACCTTAACTATGATTAGTTGTTTAGGTATTAGGAAAAACATAATCTTGTGGGATAATATGAAATACTTTTTAATGTAAAGTTTTTAAATATCAAAATTTTATAGTTTTTAATAATATATGATTGAAGAATTTAATGGTCGAAGTTTGCATCGGAGACTGCAAATTGCTAAAGTGAAGAACGTTATGGATGGTATACGATTTAATCAATTTATGAAATGTATGGTAATAGGTATATATTTTCTAGGTATGTAGTATTTTTGTATGTCAGTATGTAGTGACAGCCCAAAATTGATTAAATTGCCTTGATATGACTTGTACTGTTGTCATCACCAAATCAAATGATAAAGAAAAACTTTTTTTTTTTTTTCCCATTTCTCTTCAGTATCTCATTATTTGCTTACTATAAATAAATTTGGTTTCCTTTTTGTTGGTGGATTTTTACCCTATCAGCCAAATTATACAATCTCCTTTTTCTCATCATATATTTCAAAGGAAAATAGGAAAACTAAAGTTGGAAATAGGTGGAGTGTATTGATTATCATTGGTAACCTGACACTTTTTATTTTATTGTACTTTTGGCATAAGATACATGAAAATGTTCAACAACAAAAATTCTGATGAATACTACTTTGTATTTGGTTTGGAAAATTGGAAGAGTGTGTTCTAACTTTCCCTGGAATCTCTCTCTCTCTCTCTATACACACACACACACACACACACACACACACTCTAAAAGCTTACACAGTTCTTGGAAAAAATTAAGCCTTTTGAATTCTTGGATTTCGTCTTATTATGAATGTGCATGCAACAGGGGCTATGTGTTTGCTGTTAGTGTCCATAGAGTTCAGCTTCTTCTGCAAGTTTTGAGCGTGAAGCGCTTCTCTCATCAACAGCAGCAGCAGCAGAACTCGGCTTCTGCCCAAGAGGAGTTAACACAATCTGAAATTAGTGAGATATGTGACTACTTTAGCCGTCGTGTTGCATCAGAGCCATATGATGCGTCACGTGTAGCATCATTTATCACCCTTCTTACATTGCCAATCTCTGTTTTAAGAGAGTTTTTGAAACTTATTACATGGAAAAAAGTTATGTCCCAATCTCAAGGTGGAGATGTGGCACCTGCTCAAAAGCCTCGTATAGAATTGTGTCTTGAAAACCATGCTGGTTTGAATATGGATGGGATTTCGGGAAATTTATCTGCTACTAAAAGTAATATCCATTATGATCGGCCCAACAACTCAGTTGATTTTGCTCTAACTGTTGTTCTTGATCCAGCTCACATACCTCACATTAATGCTGCTGGTGGTGCTGCTTGGTTACCATATTGTGTGTCAGTGAGGTTAAGATACTCTTTTGGAGATAACACGGCTGTTTCCTTTCTTGGTATGGAAGGAAGCCATGGAGGTCGTGCCTGTTGGTTGAGAGTTGATGAATGGGAAAAATGTAAACAGAGAGTGGCTCGTGCCATAGAAGTTCCTGGATCTTCACCTGCAGATATTGCTCAAGGGAGGCTAAGACTAGTTGCCGATAATGTCCAAAGGGCATTACATTTGTGTTTGCAGGGACTAAGGGATAGTGGCGCTGGAGTTCCTGGAACTTCTGGAGCCTCATGATTTCTAAATTTTTTTTCTTATCGTGATAATTCTTGCATGCCTTTTTCTCTTTTATATTTTTATTTTTTTTGGGAATCTATAGTTTTGGTTTAAGATATTAGACAGAGCAAAGGTTGGTGCACAACTTATGGTGTTCAACAAATCAAGCTAGCAGATTCTTTGATCCTCGGTCGAAGCAGAATTGATATGCTGGTGGCTGAGTTTCCTGGATCTGCTTGCAAAGTGTAGTTTATTACAATGCCTTGCTTCAGTAGCAGCTAACCTGAAGATGCATGAAGATCTATGATTTGTCATAGGATGTAATGATGTATCATAATTTTGAGATTGCCATATGTAATCTGACAAAGCTTAAATTAGGAATTAGTTCATCTTGTACAGAATAGTCACAGGGCTAGAATTTATGTAAAGGAATAGTTGGAATTGCTTGGTGTATTTGTTATAAGTACATACCTAAATTTAATCTAATGGCCACAAATAGTGCTTACTTTGTGTGTTGGGTTGAATTGTGGCCTAAGCGTCCGCCTTCAGATTTTAGGTTCTCCGGTGGGAATATTGGTCTAAATTTCACCTCATTATATTGCCACCACCACCTCGCGCCTAGGGTTTCGAGGGTGGTGGGAGGGCTGGGCGCCGGATTTCGGGGTCAAGGGAGATATGGGTTAGGGTTTTTCGGGGCTATGGGTTGTTTTTTTGGGGGAGGGGAGAGCGGCAAGGCTCGAGGGAGGGTCGGCGGTGGTCGGAGGAGGGGCAGCGGTGGTCTGGGCTGGTTTTCCGGTGGTGGTGTGAAGGTGGTGATGTTAAGATGGGTAGGGAACGGAATGGAATGGAATGGAAATACTTAGGGGGGGTGGGGAATGAAGTTAGAGGGATTTGGGGGAATGAAGGGGGTAAAGGGAATGGGAAAAATAGGCTAACAAACAACAACAAAGGAAATGGGTGCAGTTGATTCTGATTCCCTTTAATGATTAACCCCAACCAAACGACCCCTTAAATTAACCATCGGATCTGAAACGATGCAAGTCTTGCAGACACAACATATCTTGAGGTTAGTCTAAGGAATACATGTTTATACACCAGCTCCGGTGACTATTAGCACCAGCTCCAGTGAGTGTTAGCACCATCTCTAGCGCATGTGTGCATGTGGCTCATATGGACTAGAGTCTTAAGTTTGGTCACACAGATAAGTGAGCACCTTATTTAATATCACTGGCCAACTTGGTGCAAGAACTCTTTCTATTGATGATATTAGTGATGCTGATCACTATTGCTGATTGTCAATTGCTCATGCTTTTGGTGTGCTCTTGCCATGCTGGCAGAGTTTGTTATGAAAGTTGTTAGAGATGCTGAGTCAGCAGATTCTGTTACAAAGTTTGTTAGATATTACAGCCTATGTAATAATATCTAGTAGCATATGTATAAAGCTATCTTGTATTAGATTTTTCATTCATCTAATTATGAAATGAATTACTCTCTTCTTCTCTCTCTAAAATTCTTCCTTCTTCTTCTTCTCTGTTCTTTAGTTCTTTCTAGCCGATTTCATCATGGTATCAGAGTTAGGCCCACGATATGAGACCTTAAATGGCTAAAGTTCACTGGGCCAAGAGTAGGTCCGTGTAAGGGGGAGTGAAGAAGCACTCTAACCCGAAAAATCACATGAGATAAAGTTAAAAAGGGACCTTACATGTGAGGGGGAGTGTTGAAGAATAAACCTCTCAAGTATCACCACATGTAAGTGTCCCACATTGGTTGAAGAAGAGAGAGTTAAACAATTTATAAAGCTAAGGGTCTACTCCTCCTATTGCCATATGGTTTTGGGATAGAACCTCCTTGGACTTGTGAAGTGGACTCTCTCTCTTGGTTTGCGGGTGCGGTCCTGACCCGCGTTTGACATGGTATCAGAGCCCAGTTCTTCTTTGTTCTTTAGTTCTTTCTAGCAGATTTCATCACTTTAAGTCGATAAATTTTGTTATAGTTGGATTAGCGTCAAGGGCGAAGCTGCATGGGGGGCGGGTGGAGGCCTGGCCCCCCATGGCCCAATTTTGTGGTTTATTATTTTGACTGTTGGCCCCTATAAATATTTACTATAATTCTTATTATTTATTCACATATACTTAAGGCTTGCCATAGTGGTTTGATCTCATTGTTTGGTGTCCTAGATCATATCCTAGGATCAAGCCTCCTAAGTGACAAGTTTAGTACTATTTTGTTTCTTTTTGAAACCCCAATTATTGAGGGCTTTGTCATTGTTGATTTGTTTCACTACTTAATCAATAAATTTATTTTATTTTCTTAATTTTGTATAATAATTTGTAAAATTCTTCTGTATAATGTTAATTGCTAAGGTTTATGGATTAAATACTAGGATTAGTTCACTCATTACTAAACTTTTTTAGACGATCAATTTAATTTTTTCCCCTTATTCACCAAAGCTACTTTGTTTGTCATTTCCTATTTATAAATAAGATACAATATAATTAAAAATTATCTTATTAGATTCATCTCAATTTATTAATACTTCGTAAGTTTTTTTTCTTTCTTTTTTTTTGGTAATGTTTATGCTTAATTAGATATACTGATGGCTAATGAAATATATTATGATGCTTGTCTTAATAAATCTAGGCATATATGCAAGAACAATAGAGAAAGTGTTTGTATATCATCAAGATTGATATGTATGTTAATTTTTTATTTGTTGGTAGAATTAGAGTATTCAACTATGTTTACATTAATTTTTTTGATTAAAGTATTAGTCGGCCCCTATATCTTTAAAATCCTGGCTTCGCCCCTGACTAGCTTGCAGAAACTCAATTCTACTTGTTGCATGTTGGGCTAATGTGAATAGCTTGCTTCCGAGCGTTAAGGCTTAGGTTAGCATCTCCAATTAACATATGAAAATAGCGATAGGGTTTGTTTTTTTGACAAGAAGAAATTTTATTAATAAAATATATTCATACGATATTTACATGATTCTTAAGAAATCAAAAATTCCAACACAAGTACATACTTCCTCCGTGTCTGAATAAATGAAACGTTTCCTGTATACGTATGCCAATGAAAAACTTTGACTGAAAATATCTTTTATTATTAATAAGCAAAAATTATAACAATTGAATATTAATAAACTATTAATAGAGTCGATTTTAACAAGTACCCACATTACTATATTTATTATTTTTAGGTATAAATCACAAATATTAATCAAAATGTATGAGATGAATAGTGCAAAAAGTCAATACGTGTCATTTTTTTAAACATGTACGAAGTAACACCTTAGAACTATATACATCACAGATTCGATCAATAATTGCCTTGAAAAAAAAAAAAAAAAACCCTTCATCTGAAATAGTACAGTATGTGAGTTAGCTTTAATTCAACCAAAGAAAATACTCATGTGGTCCTTTGGGTTCTTAGGAAGATTGTGAAACCCTAGATTTTCAATTCTCGCCGTACAACAAAAAAAAGAAATTAAACACGAGAAAAATCATCATCTCAAGGATGAGATATATTTATTGAAAGTAATTATTTTTGGGGCTTATCATTGGTAAGAACACCAGTGAATGCCCCTACATAGATTCACAACCGAGAGCAATTCAGAGTAAAAGAGAATAAGAGATGGAGAGAAAAAAGAGAAGAGAGAAGGAAAGCCTTTTTTTTTTTTTTTTAAAAAAAAAAAAAAAAAACACCCTAGCAATGGAGGTTAGGAAAATTTCATAATTGAGAAACCTTAGAGGGAACAAAGAAAAACCCACCCAAGGAGAAAATCTAGAGGGAATGTAATGTTAGCGATGACTTTTTGTTCACCATATAAGAGTTTTTTTTTTTTTTGGGTGTTGTTGTCTTTGAAGGGGCACTTGCACATGGTTGTAAACTACGGAAATATTTCAATAAAAGAGTGAAACAAAGTGAGTTGGACACCTATTTTAAAATATGAGATAATTTTAATGGAACGGATGGATTAATCGAGACAATGGCGCACCATATGACATCAAAATTACTTTGACTTCAATATTGGAGTCCAAGTCCAAACTAAACTTTTTGCAAGTCGGGTTAAAAGAAGTTATTTTAATTCCCAATCTTAATTCATGCCAAGCTAGTAATAGTTGTTATTTTTTGATGTTCTGAATTGTTAAATTTATTATTTTTGTGAATGAGCCGTTAATAAAGTCCATACACCCTAAACTGCAACTTAAACTCATTATTATTCATTACACCAGTAAAGGAGGATGTATATTCACAGCTCATTTTTTGAACTCCTTTGACGATCAACGAGAATGAACATTTTTTGTAACTTTTGGAACTCTTAACTCCTATAAATACCTTTGTCATTAGGTCTGATGTAACTAAATATATTATTATCATCACTGTTAATTTGCTGATTTGCTCATCCTCTTGCTAATTGTATCCCTCAAAACCAAAGACTAACTCTTAAGACTGCGGCGAGTGTGAGTTTATGGCACACGATTGTGAATTTGACCTTAACTATTAAGCTTCAATGCTTCATAGTTTTGCAGTTTGTCTTCAAAGATGCGTAACTATGGAAGATGATCTATTCAACTGATGGCAAGCTAAAAAATATACTCGTCAACCATCTTCGCTTTAAAAATGATAAACTAAATGAAGAATCCCTTGATTATCTTCCAAAGAGGGAAATACTAGCTCATGGACATAGCTAACCTAAGCCTTCATCGCAAATTCACAATCATCTATTTGTATCTGATTAGACTAATGTTCACTTAGTGATGCTAGGACATCTTTGAATTATTATGAAGTGTTGAAGGACGGTTAGTGAAATGGACAAGCTCCCCTAGCCAACACAAATTGATCACGGGAACAAGGACAAAAATGGAGTTTGAGAAAATTGAAGGTTAGGAGCAAGTCATGAAGAAGTAAGCTAGCTAAAGCACCAGGAATCCTTGAGGTGGACAATACATCGGGTACTCCTAGCTAAGAGCCTCTAATTAGACGCACACAAGGAAAATCTTCAAAAGCCAAGAAGGCTGCAATGATAGCCAATTAAGCTCATGCATAATAGGCACTCTGCAGCCAATGAATCAGGCGTCCAAGGCCAGAGGAAAATCGAAACTTGACTCTGCCTTGAGTCCAAAGCGCTAACATACACTGCATCAATCTCCTCACCAACTTTAAACTACACATTACTCCGCAGTGGCATAGGAATGGTGATACACTGATGCATATAAAATCCTGTATATCTTGAAGTCTAGAAGATCACCTAATAATTTATGAAGTACCAGCTAAACTAGTCATCATCCCAAAAATCTTGCAAATCCAGTAGTGACTCGTCATAATCTTCACGGAATTCATTGTGAAGAATTTATTATAGTACACATATTAACAATCATTGAATAGCTTTCTTTTTCTCTCAAAATCAATCAGGATTCAAGGATATGAGAAGAAAAATAAATTATATCACCAAATCGATCCAAAAGCTCCTCACTTTCCAAAAGAAAACAGCAGAACCAATCGCTCTTTTATTTTAATCTTGTAAATTAAAATTAAATAAATATCCTACAAAAAGAAGCTTCCAACATTGCTTTCTCAAACAACTAACCATTAATCAATTTATTTCAACGTCCAATACATTTCAATTCTACTTAAACATCATACTATAAATTATGCTACAAACATTTTCCAAAAGCTTGGGTCCCACATTTTTGTCCACTATACAGGAAAAACAAAAGAGCATCGGTCACAAATGTCTGGGTCATACCCCACTAATTCCCCCACCTTTGATTACTAGAAGATTAATAATTTTTTCAAATTTATATTTGACAAACTTTATACTTTATAGACTTGACCACCATAACATAGCATAGGAAAAACATGTTAGTGCCCACCATTTGCTTTTTCTCCTCCTAAACATTGCCAATCATCCTCTTCTTTGACAAAAAACTGGGAAAATGACTTCATCTAAATTGTACCTCATCTTCATTTAGCAATGCCCTTGATATCCTTATCCTTAGAGGGTGTTAATCACGGAGGCGGGTTTGCCTCGGGCTTGATGATTGCTGGAGGATCAGGAGGTGGTGGTTGTGACCGAAAAATAGCAGATGCCAGTGATACAGGCATGATGCAGAGTGCCTTAGACTGAAGGAATTGCATAGCAGCTCCTATGTCTTGTTCCATTAGTTTAGCTACTTGCTGCTCCGTGCCATCACTTGACCACTTCTCCCATGCTGCCTGTGCCCCATCAACGCCTTCCCCCTATATATGATCACGATAGACTTTATTTCAGTTTATTAGAATGTATATAAAATCAAAACAAACACAAGTGTGCGCGACAATATTATGTTACCTCAGCAGATGATGGGGGTACATCAGCTACAAGTTGTGCCACAGCACCCGCTCCACCCAATCTGCTCATGCTTAACACCTGATTGATTTCAATTACACTGAAAAAATTTAGAAAACTACATATTTGCAAGACAGACTCCCCACCCTGAAAGAAAATTAAAATAACATAAGGAAAGCATATGATCTATGTTGGTCTCAGAATCTTCATTTCATCCGAAGTACTCGTGTCAGCTCCTTACACTCCAACATGAATATGGTCGCTTGAATTTTAAACTAAAAGGGTTTATAGATTTCAGAAGTAGCTTAGTATGACACTTGGACAAGTACTTGTATTCAACATGGGTATCCAATTCCGAGGAACAGAGCATATGATAAACATAAAAATAAAAGATCTTTGCTAATTGCCATTGTTCAAATAAAATACTGGCATCTGGATTTTGAACAGTAGAAGAGTATAATATAAAGCTCGATGAAGTTTCCATTAATAGGGACACAACTTTTGAATAGATTAAAATATCCCTCAAATGTGGTGGAACCATGATGAATCCCAAAGAGGATACCTTGACTTGTAGCCTCAGAAATTTCACGTAATCAACGATTTCATCAAGCATAGCCGCCCTGTCTGTCTGTGCAAGCAATAATATAATATTAGAGCAATAATAGCATCATTTAACTGTTCTTTATTGATAAAGAAGCAGAGATAGCAGAAACTGACAAGCCAAATTAGTTGAGGACAAATAAAAGGTCCTGACCATGTTGCAGCTAGGAACCAGTTCTTGCAAAGCCTTCATTCTTTCAGCTATTCTTTCCCTACGTAACTACACATGTAAACTTTGTCAAAAAAAAAAAGAAAAAAAAAACACTACACATGTAAAGGACATAAATACTATTAGTTCAGCAGTTGTAAACTTGTAATCAGTTATGATCAGTTAATGTCAGTTACGAAGCAAAAATCAGTAAATGTTTTGAGTAGAGACTAGCAGCTAAAAGGTTTTAGTGATCTCATAATAGGAAATGCAAGCCTAGATTAGAGAAATGAGGCTTACCCGTTCAGCAATACTGTGGGGATCAGTGGCCTGACCACGCCTTGCTCGCACTCTAGGCCTGATTGCAGGTGGATGTGACATCGGTGGAGCTGGTCCTGGTGCTGTATGACCCTGGAAAGTCTGCATACCCATACAGTAACCAAAATGAGTTTTATCATCTTGCAAGAGGCATATATAAATAATGTTTTTAAGGAGAGAAAAATTATTTCACCTACAAGTTTTACAGTTAATATTCTGTATGCAGAAATTATCTACGGAAGGATTGACAAAAATAGCTAGCTTCTCAAAGCTTACCAAGTAATTATAGAAATATGTGGGGGTTGTTTCAAACACTTTCATTAATTGTTCTAAATATTCCAAATATATATGAACACGAAGTAAAATGCAATTCCAAAGAAAAAACTTATTATGAAGCATACAAAATTATGTTAGCCAAATACAGGACCAACGTAGATGTTAGCTTTCAAATATTGCCTAAATTCATAATAAATATATTTCTAATACATTCAAGCTATAGAAAGAATTCCATATATTCAAATCCTAGAGGTCAAAGTATGGATTTTTCTTCATTCCTAACTAGAAAAATGAAAAAAAAGGGTAGCAAATTTCTAATCTTACAAAAATTGTATTTCTAACAGCTTTACTTGTATTATTGTATATAATAGAATGGCATTATGGCACTTAACTTGATGTGATGTTTAAGTGGATAAAATTAGTTTAGGTATTGATAAAATATATGAAACAGACTTAGACAAAGAAAGAAAAAAGTTAAACTACTTACAACTCTAAGTAAAGCTCCATCTCAAAACACAAATTACAAACATAAGCAATTTGGTAAGCAAGTTGGTTGGAAATGTTCTCCATCGTTAACAATTCACCTAAACACAACAAATAAGAATAGGTCTCAACAGACCACTTTACCTAAGCGAACTTATTTCTTATGAAAGAATGGACAGTAAAAGAAATAAAGAAATCCTATACATATCTGAGTAGATTTTGGTCTGCTCATGCATTTAAAGTACTTTCTGGTATTATTACTGATGATTTTGGGTACAACCAGACTAAATATTTTGTCTATGAAAAAGCACACGAGTCAAAACAGAAGAATTTTTTCACTCAAGACACAAGTGTTGTTTTCACATAGATTTCACAATCCAGTCTTTCTAGATCATTGACAAGAAAAGAGAAACCTCACTATTGGGCCAAATTAAGATTTAAGAATATGCTTCTTTGATATTTTATTTCATGACTTCATGTACACACCCATTTGTTTTAACTTATGCCGCTAATCATGGATATAAAGTTTTGGTTCTGCTTAATTAAGCATCTTGAAATTTCACATAAACAGTAAAAATATGTCAAAAGAATAAGTATATAGATACATGAAACAACAATAAATGTATTCTCAAAAGGAATAAAGGGATCCTCCCAATTCAAATTTCTTTTTCTTAGCAACTTGTTATTTAATAGTGTGATTGATATCCAGGAAAAAGCATGAACTTTCTGTTGAAAAAGCCATGGCTGTGAATTTGATATTCTTCAGATATTCCCAGTTTTTTACTAACCCCAAAGCTTTCAATGTCAACTCTTAGGATACTACTAAACATAAATTAAAAATAAATAAATAATAAAAATCCATCACGCGTGGGACCCACGCGCTCCTTTTGATGTTTGGCCAGCGCGTCAAAGGAGGGACAGTGGGATGAGTAGGATGCTTTTAAGTTTTACCCCCTTCTTAGGTGACATCATTAGCCCTGAAAAACTTTGGAAAGGACAATTGGGTCCCCACAATTTGTAAGGAAGTGTTCTGCACGTGTGAAGGCCCAACACCTATGTAGTGGTGCAAACATAGACCAATCCAACTCTCTCACTTCACACGTGCAACACAGTCTCACAAATCTCAACTATTTTCTTCATTATTATGCTATAACATTTGAGTGTTTGATGATTTGATGTCTTAATCATCTCAGGTTTTATACTAGTGGCCTACTTGGCCATCTATCAAGATTTAGTGAACACTCAATCATAGTTTGTTTACCAATTGGATGAAATGCCCTATCCATAAATTAATATGCAGCCCATAAGTGGAAATCAAGTCTTAGATGAAATCGACTTGGCGTTGAATGGTAAAAGTATGTTACTCTCTAACAAAATTAATAAGTCGCCTCTAGAATTAAACAAAGATACCCTGTGGCTTTCACTACATTTTAATAACATTAAAGACGATTTTATACAAAATTTTGGCATAAAGAAAAAGTAAAGAGTGTTAGGAGATACTAATAGATATAGTAACGCTATAATGTCAACAAAATAATGAAAAGCGACCAAAATTGACAAAATCATATAGCTTAAGAAAAACATACGTGTTGGAGTAAAGCTATAGGACTTGATATAAATGGAAAAGTAACAACTAACAAGGTGATAACTGACATTTAACCAATCTCTATAACTTCCATACATTTTCTAGACATAAAATGAAGAAGTATCTAGTTTGTTTCTTTTAATTTGGTGTTAGTTATTAGTTCTAAATGAAACTTCATAATGTGTAATTTTCATTCAACCCTCGGTATACCTACAACAAAACATAGTTGAGCAATAGAAAGAAGAAAATGAAGACATAAGGATGCTGAAAAATGTTACCTGATGAACTTGAATAGATGGAGGTGCAGGACGAAGTGACTGATGTTGCAGCTGACCAAATGCTGGAAACAAGTTTGATAAATGCATTGAGTCACTCTCCTATAACAAGCAAATCAAACATCCCGTCAAAACAATAATACGAAGTAATAATAATTAATTTCAACATCTTAAAATCTCCTTCAATCATCAAATAAAGCCTCCCTTAGGCTCCGTTTGTTTTGACGTAAAAAATGGAAAATAATTTTCCTAAAGGTGGAAAATAGTTCTCCTAAGAGTGCAAAATGTTTTCCTTTGAAAAGAAGGTATGCCACGTTTTCCTCCCTACTCCTCACATCCCTTACAATTGTGATTTCCCTTAATAATTATTTTCCATGGAGAATCATATTACCAAAATATTGTTTTCCGCTAAAACAAACAGAGCCTTATTGATTTATTAGGAAAAAAAAAGATGAGTTAAACATTGACTACTTCTATCTGCAAAAAGGAAAACTGACCCAAAAAAAAGCATCACCTATTACTTTTTATTCACTTTGTGAAGTAAAAAGATAAAGAAGAAAAGAATACATATAGTATCGTTGCGATTTCAGTTTTTACAAGATACCTTTGAATCATAGTTTAACTGGTAAAATATCCTTAGCCTTAACTCTTCCATTAGCCTCTAGTGCCTCTACCATCTGTTTTATGCTTGACACACTTAAAATTAAATTCTCTAAAAATAAACACAACATAAAGTTTTTACAAGATACCTTTGAATTATAGTTTAACTGGTAAAATATCCTTAGACTTAACTCTTCCATTGGCCTCTACCAACTGTTTTATGCTCGACACACTTAAAATTAAATTCTCTAAAACAAAACATGACTTGAAAATAACAAGGGAATCTATTTTATCTATTGATACTATATAAGTAAGACATTAGTTTTGAAGGGTACGTTGTGAATATTTGAAATCCTAGGAGTACGTCTTGAAATACCTAAAGATAAAGGGATAATTACAAAAAATAATTCAAGAAAAAGGACATAGAAAGAGTACTGTTTAGATCATAATTGAAGAGTGAATATTGATGAAAAATTGATGTATTCCTGATTGTCTACTGTAAGTAGACATTACTGTACTGTATATGACAAAAAGTAGCACACAAAAGATACCCTGGGAAAAGAATGTAATTGTCAATGACCACTAACTACTCAACCAATGACAAAGGTTTATTACCTCCTTGACTAATTAATCCTCATCAAGTACAACTAGTGACCAAGTTGAGACTAATATTTCCTTATCTCCACTAATATAAAAATTAACTACTTTTTAAGGCTTAAACACCCAAATTAAAATCGAGTGATGACAGTGGAATCATTAACCGAGGGTAGATAATTTCTTTGTCCAAAACTAACTATGTACGATTTAGGTGTTAGGAAACAAAGTTGGACCCCCCTTTAAGAGTTAAGACCACCCCTAATGCTAGCCATCCCTTCAGGCTTCAGTTCAATAACTTGTCAATTAAACAAATCAAATTCAATACATTTTTTTTTTTTTTGAATAGTTCAAAGATCATACATTATTATATTGAAAAATTGTCCAACTTGGTTACTCTATAAGTTTAGGAAATGATTCTCAAGGACAGAATAATTCCCAACGCAAGCTGACAAAATTTACCCACCTTTTATCAGATCCTGAATTACACATGCAATAAATAAATCAATAGTTAGGATTAATTTAATTGACTCCATCTTATAGATAAAGGGTACATAAGTATACATGCGTCATTTAATAAGGTTAAGCGAGAGTATTTTGAATGTATATGGATATCAAATCTTAATTATTCTTAATGTCAATATGCTCTTTAAAAGCTTGTCAAAAAAAAATGCTCTTTAAATTTTGAGGTAAAATAAGCTAGTAAAACAATTTGTAGAATATATTTTGTTAAACAAAAATAACCTGAAATTTTTATATACACTCGAGTGAACCGAAGTACCTAACCAACCTGGTAAATTTTTTACTCTTCATGTGTAGAACAATCTCTCTTCAAAAGCAAAGTATTCATTAATGCATGTCTTATGTGGAGACTCTAGACTTCAACATGGCAATTGTTTCCTGAACATTGTTTACTCCAAACTTAATTACAAAGATTAATATAAACCCTCCACCTTAAACTTTAAGAGTCATAGTATCTAAACCAATAACAATTAAGTATAGTACACTTACATGGACCATAGTTATGATAATTGAACACTACATATTCTTTACGACCTTAGTATAATGTTAAAACCGGACTTAAACCATTACTACCATCGATCTACAATATAAGAGAAATTTTTTCTTGACATCTTAAAATATAACTTAGTATACGTAGTATATATGAATACACCTCTATTTTGTTCGAACTTATTTTGTATTCCATCCGAAATTATATTATCTTAACTTGAATTACAAAATAAATTTACGCGAAATATAATTTTCTACTTCGTATTATCTAAACTTATTTTCTTAGTAGCAGAACTTTGTGTTTATGACCTTAATAACATATCTAAACTTATTTTAACTTCTACTTAAATTTAATATAAACTAGGTTAGATCCCGTGTCATGCACGGTTATTGACAAAAAAAATTATGTACGCATATACTTATCAGTGATCACATATTGTAATATCTCGTTTTTAGTCATTAATTTTTGTCTATCTCAATTGTATCCTTAAAACGGATATTATGTTTGCCACATAAAAACTTATAGTGGAAGATTGTATTTTTTAAAAATATTTACAAAGATTATATTTTGCTATTCTAGTTTCCATATTAATTAGTTAATTGAATGTGAATATTTAAAAAAGGTAAATATCATTTTTATTTATATAGTAATTAAATTACAAAAATTTCCTTAAATAAATATTCTATTAATTTTTTTTAAAAAAAATACTAAGGACATACCAGAAACTGACACGTGTCATTGCTGGTGTGTCTTTTAGTATATATATTATTGATTATTAATTGATTGATTAGTTACTAATATTTTGCAAACAAGAATTTTGGTTGTACAAAAACAAATACGAGTACAAAAAAACATTAGAAGACCCTCGTAAAAGAAATAACCCGATAAACCGTACATATATTTTTTTTATTAATTTCATTTAAGAACTTGGAACATTTTGTACCTAGTACAAGTCAACATATACTTCGTATTGAATAATTTTCCACGGAAAAAGACAAATAAAAATTAAAAATAATAAAATAAAAATAAAAACATGAACCAAATTCACACTAGAAAACAGAGAAGGAAAGAAAGAAAGACTTACGTTAATTCTAGAAGATGAAGAAGCATTACCACCATCACCGCCACCATGAGTGGAAGAACTACCATGATCCAAATTCAGGCCCAAAGGCAAGCCCAAGCCCATTCCACCTCTAAACCCACCAATACCAAGCCCAACATTCACACCTCCATGACCCGACCCGTCTCCTGGGCCCAAGCCCAACAAAATTGACGACCCATCACCTCCACCCGACCCGCCACCTACAAACCCGCCACCATCACTTCCACCACCCGTATTATAACCCGGAACTGATAATATTTGCTCAAAGAATTCATCTCCTAACCCTTCATGATGATGATGATGTGGTTGATTATTCGCCATTTTTAGAGCTTTTAATTATTAACCCAGAAAAATTAAATTTCTGGGTATTTGTAATTTTGATGAAAATTTGATTTATATTAAGTAATTTGTTGAGTGGCAAAAACAGGGGGTTTTTGGTGGGGTTTAAATGTTGGAAATTTTGAATTTTTTTGATGATTTTATACAAGATTTTTGGTGGGTTTATGGTTTATGAAGAGAAAAAATAAATGCCCAAATGATGTAATTAATGAATGATAGATATAATGTAAAATATAGTGTGAAGAAGGAGAAAAAGTAGAGAGAAAAAGGGGGAGAATTATGGGAGTGTTTTCTGGATTATTTTTATTTATTTTTTGTTAAATAATTTTGTAGTTTATTAAAAAAAATGGTCTGACTTGTTCTAGTGAGTGGTATTTTTGGTGATTAGTAATATAATTAGTAGTACAAGTAGTGTAAAGTATGAGAGAGACCAAAAAGGAATAATACTAAAAAAGGATTAATTTTTAAAATTGAATTGAGTGTTTGTGTGTGTGGGTGGTTGAAGGAATTTTTAGGGGTACAAACAAACTGCCTCTTGGAAGGTGTGACACACTTCCCAATCATTCTTCCTTTGCTACCATATTTTTTGTAGTTAGCTAATGCTTAATTGCTTACACCTTATGTTAAGTTTAGTTATTGGGATTTGTTTGAGCTATTAAGTGAAGTTTAGTTGAGGAAGTACAAGATTGCATTGGAAAGGGAGGGGAGCTATTTCTCACAATAATGTTACACATAGACACACTTAGGGATGTCAGTGGGGCGGGTCAAGTAGGAGACCCGCCCCATCCCCACGGGGCGGGGATGGGTCTCGGTTTGGCGGGTGGTGAGGCGGGGATGAGGATGAAAACGATACCCGCCATGGGTGATGGGGCGGGGGTGGATTTTAAGTTGTACCCGCACCATCCCCGCCCCGCCCCACTTCGTACCCGCCCCATCTCCACCTCATACCCACATCTATATACTTTTATATTATTTTATAAAATAATTACGTGAAGTAAATATTAATTATAATATTTGTACTACACTTATATTATAAACAAAAATGTGTGTAATATTAAGAATTTTTTTTTAATATTATAATCCGTATTAATTATGTAGGATTGTGTATTTGAGACACGGAAATTTGGTGGGTCTTGGGTGGGGATTAGGCGGGTATTTGGTGGGGATTAGGCAGGGATGGATATCCAAGTGGGGGGGTGGGGCGGGGATGGAGATGAATATTAGACCCGCCGCGGGGATGGGGATGGGGATGGGGATGAAAATGTTAGGTGGGGATGGGGATGGGAAGGTCAACATCCGCCCCGCCCCGCCCCGCCCCATTGACATCCTAGACACACTCCCATTATCGATTTAGATAGTGTGGGAATATCTTGTCTACAAGGAAAAGAAACTGCTTTAGGACGGGGTAATCATATTTATAAATTAGATACATAGCGATGTTTTAGGGCATGTTCTGTTCAGCTTAATTTCAGTTCAGTTTAGTTCAGCTCAGCTCCAATCATTTCAGTTCCTAATTTCCTTCTCTCATAAATAATTCATTTCATTTCATTTCGGTTCAGTTCAGTAAATCGAAACAGGCCCCCAGCGGTAGTGAAAAAAATTAGTAAGGAACGTTTATAGATCAACTTAGAAAATTAAACCTAGATGTAAAAACTTTTTGCCAACAAATTAATCAAACAATTGAAGGACTACAAATTGCCCTTGTTTGAATTTGGCCATGGTATGGTAGTACGGTTAATTTGGCCAGTATAGAGAGAAAGCAAAGCATGAAGTTGAATAATTGAGTGAGAGTGGAAAGAGAGTAATCAAAGTAGAGAGCTGAGTGAGAATGACAAGAGGAACATGAACAAGGTCGTAGCTAGACTTAATTGTTAATGGAGGTTAGACGATTAAAGAAAAAGGACTGAGAAGGTGGAAAATAGAAAAGTAAAGAATTGTTAAATCATCAAGAATATCAACTTTTTTTTCTTCGGTTAATTAGGATGAACCTATACTATGTACGAGATATATCACGCACAATATATATATATATATATATATATACGGGGAGGTTCCGCTAAAAACAGAGCTTATGGTGAAAACTAAAAGCAAGCAATCTTAGCCATTCATTACTAGCACAAAAGATCAGACGGTTCTAAAGCCCTAAGATCATTCCGACCTTACATATAATCAATTCAACCGTTTTAAAGATTTTTTTTTTTTTTGACAAACGCAACGTTTTAAAGGTCACTACATGCTAAAATAAGGTAACTTTATCTAAATTGACGATATTTACATAGAGTCACTGTATATAAAAATAACGTAACTATATAAAAAAATAGGGTAGCTATATCAATTTTGATCATATTTACATAAAGGTCACTATATACAAAAATAGGGTAGCTATATCAATTTTGATCATATTTACATAAAGGTCACTATATACAAAAATAGGGTAACTATATCAATTTTGACCATATTCACATAAAGATCACTATATACAAAAATATGGTAACTATATCAATTTTTAGAATATTTACTTAGAGGTCACTAAACAAAAATAGGGTAACTATATCAATTTTGACCATATTTACATAAAAGTCACTATATACAAAAATAAGGTAACTATATCAATTTTGACCACATTTATACAGAGGCCACTATATATAAAAATAACAAAGGTCACTATATATAAAAATAAGGTAATTATATAAATTTTGACAACATTGACCACATTTTTATAGATGTCACTATTTACAAAAGTAAGGTAACTATCATCAGATAACTTCTCCTTCTCCGGCCTCCTTGTCATCAGATAATTTCTCATGCTCCTACTTGTCATCAGATAATTTCTCCCACTCCTCCTTGTCACCACCAAAGGAGTAGTCCACTGGCTCCAAACCCCGGCAGTCAAAGCTAGAGCTCATCAAACGGACAAACTTTCCAGCTTCACAGTCATCACCTGTTAGATAGCGGCCAGATTTTGGTATCATTGTAATAGTACCCTCCCTGCCACAGAACTTGCACTGAGATAATGAAAGGGTGATTGATTAGCAACAAGCCAAATGACCCTCATTTTTGTTCATTCTTTTGTGAGAAATAGAATCTGAGATAATATTTCTATGAAGTAATTATGTCCGTGCAGTGTAACAATCTAGCAATGCTAGTAATTGACATACTATTTGTAAAATTAAAATTGCACAACAAAATAAAAGGCAGTAAAGCAATACAGTAATACTCAGCATACCACTAATTTACAATTATATCAAAAATCAAAAGGAAGGTGTTTTGTAATACCTCATCTAGTATCTTTCCTCTGTAGCTGTTTTTCCACTAGTCCTTGAACCCTAGACCTCTGGTTTCAAGAATCTTGAAAGCCACCACCAAAGCCAAAGAGGACTAGTGAACCAAACACCAATATCATGCATTATATACTTTATAGACTGTATAACTTTTGCCATTATTAGGCATTAGTGAGTCAAACACCAATATCATACATTATATACTTTATAAATTGTATAACTTTTGCCATTACTAGGCATTAGTGAATCAAACACCAATATCATACATTATATACTTTATAAACTGTATAACTTTTGCCACTATTAGGCATAGCATAACTTCAAGCAGTAGTAGTAGGGTCAATTCAAATACAGGTGGGGTCATACTTGAGGTGATGGTCATCTTTTGGTAAGGCTGTTAGGCTAATTTCACTTTCTAATCAACTTCAAATTAAAAGGCCATAACTTGATGTGTTCTTGTTGATAGGAATTGCGTTAATCCATTTCAAATCAGGTTTGCTTTGGTCCATTTCAATTAAAGCCAGCAACCTCTCCAGAGTACTTTCCATGCCTTCCAAATCACTTGGAATTTTGTCCGCCACAGTTGATTTCAAAAGTTCATCTGCCAACAGCAATAAAGCCAATCAATTTCCAATAAACCAGAATATATAACAAGTAAATACAAATTAGAATTGTTAATTAGGTGGTTTCATTATTTTGACAAAAATATATATCAAGTGCTTGTGCCTACATCCAACCCTCTCAGCTTCTGACATCCGAAGCTCTGCAGGAATTTCCTGAAATTGAGCAGCAAGCGGCTGGTCTCCAAGAGACAAACTAACAGAAACAAAGGCTTTTATTGTTGCCTCTCCATTTCTGAATGTAGTATCCACAGATAGCAATTTCAATTTACAAGAAATGACAACAACATTCTGACCTATTCTCACTTCATCAAGTAACCCAGGAACATAAGGTTTTTGCCATTGAACAAAAATCACAAATGAAAACGAACAAAAACCAAGCGAAATCAAACAGGAAATCGAACAAAATTGATGAAAAAAAGTCGAAAAAATTGATGAGCAAAAGTCACAAAATCGCACTGGAAATCAAACAAAATTGATGAACAAAACACGCAAATCGCACAAGAAATCGAACAAAATCGCAGGAAAAAAAATTTGATAAAATTGCCAAATAAAATCGAAAATTAAAAATCTGAAAATCGCATAAATCAAATCACAAAAATCGAATTAAAATCGGAAAAATCAAATTGAAAAATCGCAAAATCTAGTTGAACATCATGCGTTTTTCATGAAAATTTGAACAAAATCGGAAAAAAAAAAACGTACCTGATTTGAGCAATTTTAGGTTGTTTATGCGAAATTTGAACAAAAATTCTTCAATTTCCAGCAATTTGTGTTCAATTTTGGGATTTGAGGAGAGAGAAAGACAAGAGGTTTGCAAGTTTGAGGAGAGAGAAAATTTTGGACGGTGAGTTAGGGATTTGAGGGAGAATTTTAATCTCAGCCGTGAGATTTGATGGGTCATAATCTACGGTGTTGATTGTCCGTTTTTATGTTTTTAGCTATAGGCTTGTTTTTACATGATCCACACTATATATATATATATATATATATATATATATATATATATATATATATATATATATATATATATATGGTGTTAGAACTTAGAAGTTATAGAAATTATGCAAACTTATCCTTCTATTTTCGTAAATAAACCGAAGAGTACAAAAAAATCAAGTTGTAGGACTTGAGGGTTTGTCGTTGAAAGTTAGCAAAATGACAAATTTGTTATTGAACCCAAAGTCTCGGTAGTTAGCTCTTGGTCTTCAGTCAAAAAACGTCGATAGTATAGATGAAACCTCTTAGGCTTGTGGAGGGTCATGGCGATATGGCCTAATGATGTATCGCCAGTTAATATGATAATGAAAGGAGAAATACCGGAGGAATAGAGGAACAACGAACAGATCTACTGCAAATGATCTATAGATTTATTAGAAGTTAAACTTTGTGGTGTTAGGTTTCAAAATTGAAAGAACGTGTATATTAACCTTAGTAAACACTACATAGTAAATATTTTCTTACAAAAAAATCATTATAGATAATGAAAAGATGGTGTTTGAACAATATAAAAACATTCCCCAAACGACCAATCTTTAGTGGCAATAACAATACACATTAACATATGATGGGTTTATGCTAGCTACATCTATCAAAACCTCATCCAATGTTTAATGTATCAACTATCAAGTATTAGTTATTTACAAAGTTCGTTTATAAAAAATGATACGGATTACATATAATAATTGTGTAAAGAACAAACTCGTGCAAAACCATGAAACGTTTTTATTGATCATAGTAAAGCAATTATAACTACTTGTAAAGTTTGTAGGCACGAAACTCACCTAAAAACGGAATTGTAAAGACAAAGGTTGAAGAAAAAACGGAGGAAAGTAGCCTCTTTCTAAGTTTCTTTTTCTCATTTAATTAAGAAGCATCATTTTAATTTGTGGTACCAATTAGTTGCATATTACTTTTCAAACTTTTTTTTTCCCTATTTCATTGATTGTCAACATCATATCTTATACGTTCTCTACTTTCTCAATTCTATTTGTATTTCTAAACACGCAAATTACGGCCCTCACATATTTTTAACTAATTTTAATAATTTATAAAAATGGAGAAAAGTATGTGGTACCTCCCTTCAAATTTTTCTTTTTTTATATCACTACTTTAGAGTACCAAAAACCAAAAAAAGACTATATACAATATAATAATATTTCCGGCTCACTTTTCTCTTAGAAAATACGAAGTATTTGGATAAAATACATTACCACAATAATACCACCCATCCAAAAAATCAAGGATTTCCCAGAAAATTATCGCCTTTCAAAGTTTCAAGTTCACAAACTTATTCAAGATCTTGTATAAAAATTGGGAAGATGTTACTATAGACATATTTGGATGGACAAAGTATTTACTGAAACAGCTTGTCTTCGGCCTCATTCTTCCACACCTACAACTTCCAGAATTGTGATACATGCATATATAAGAACTAGTTTAGCACAGCTTTGCTATCCATGATATACCATATACCGTCTTCTCTAGGAACTTTGTTATTGTATATTTGATTTGGATATAGCTCTAATTGCTAATTAGCTAACTTGCTCGTGAGATAAACGGATCTCTTACACAAGTATTCGATTATACACATCATCTCGCTAACCATCACAAAAACAAGAAAATGTATAAAGAAAATTTGGATTAAATGAAGAGAAAAAATACATAGATTAACTCACGAACTCTCTTTAGACGAAGAGACTACATTTTCTTTTCCTTCTGAACTTTCAGATGCTGATTTTGCCTCAATCACATTGTCAGAAGATTCGGCGTCTTCTGGATTCTTAAGTTCCTGTTCGAACTCCTTTGCTGCCTGCAGTGAAAAAAAGTGAAGCGTTCAGGAACTGCTAACATGCAAAATGAAAAATTATCAATCCTATCAATTAGGCAATTGTTGGAGTCATAGTATATGAAACACCTCACACACAGAAAGGTGGATAAAAGAAAGGCAGGAAACCAGAACCCTAGACTTAACTTATCTCCAGTTGCTTAAGTTAGACTTGAAAGAAAAATTATAAAACAAGAAACCAACAAGGCGAACATGGATAGATCATATTGATACACACTGAACTGCTGAAGTGTAATTGAGTGTTGAAAGAAATCTGATAGCACTATAGGGATCTAAAAAGAGGCTTTCAATATGAAAATAATATGCTTATATAGCAAGGGGGAATGATCTAACTAACACTGTGCAGGCATATCATGTCCTTGTTCTCTATTGTGACAAGTGTGGTACACAAACTTGAGAGAGAGAGAGCGAGAATTCAAAGGGTTTGAAGATTTGGACAGTATCAGTTTGAAGAATAAACCTAAGTGTATTATTCTGGATGTGAGAATCAAGATATCAAAGTCCAAATGACTGGCCTTATCCAAATTGCCTCATGAAGGGATGCCATGATACAAGAGGTGGTATATCTTGGAAAGGTAACCACCAACATTGGGATCATTCCTTCTCCAGACTACTTTTTTTTTTTTTTTTTTTTTTTTTTTGAGGGGCTTCTCCAGACTACTTGATGACAGCATGAAATATTGAATTTTTTAGACTGATATAATCACTTTCGGAAAAGCAGCTTTGTATGATGCAGATGATTTGATATTTGATACATTGGCCACGCAAAATTATTCAGTGTCAACTTCTGTAACTCAAGTCGAAAAGAATCAACATATCATTCTTCATTTTAAGGTCCATTGATAAAAGATGTGCCTATTACTGTATTACAAGCTATCCTAATGGGCACCCTTCAAGGATAAAATTCTAACATAAGATGTGCAATAAAAGAAATGGTACTTAGCTCCTACATATTAATGTATTTAATGTCCGAAAGAGGATAAATTCCCTAGAGCCATAGAGGCATGATTGTTTTCACTAGAGTGTAGTCCTTTGAGGCTTTGACTGACTTGAAAAACTTTAACATCCTCTTTAGTTCACCTTATTTCCACTTATATAAGGAAAAATAAGTTCAAACCCAGGATAAACCAGATCTAATAAGGGTCAATAAAGATTTAACCCAGTTCAACTTACAACTTAAATAAATTCAGATAAGTTCCATTAAGCTTAGATATGTTAAAAATAATGTGAATAGAAGGCACCCTAAATGTCTAAATATTATAGATCTTCAACACTTGTTAAAAATAACTACACAAATTAAAAAATCCTCTAGATTTCATGTGCTTTCTTACCCTTATGAAATGATGTAATAGCCTAAGGCTGATTTCACTCAATAATGCTCATTGTTAAGAGAAGGACTGCTTCTTCATTAACAGAACGATTAAGGGATACAAGAAGTAGCTTGAGGCTACAAATATCCTAGCAACTTGAGGTTGCAACTCTCCCAAGTTTTCCTTACCAACTTTCTGCCTGCCTTTCCACTTACACTACTCATACTACTTATACTAAGCTGGTAAGATGACCTTAAGGCTTAACATGTGAAACTTGGCTAATTTAGACAAACACAAATAAACATCATAGGACTAAGGTAGCTTCTTTTCCTTCTCTTCTTCTTTATTGATTTTGTCTTCTACCTAATTGGAGTCTTGAGGCCTTGAAATGCTCCCTGCTGCTGCTGCCCTTTGCTGTTGCTCTTGTTGCTTGTTGACTGTCCTCCTATCATAAACCCGCATAGGTTGTGGCTGACCCGTATTACCAAATTACCCCCCCCCCCTCCTAAAGCCGGTCTATTACAAATGAAGCTCCGTTTCTTAAGGATGTTATGTAATTGGAGTAAAACTGTAAACTGCTCTGCTTAGAATATCACAAGTCTTCTATTGATTTTACTTTTAGCTTCTGAGCAAAATACTTTTTGCTCCAGCTATTCAATTGTACATTAATATCAATACAAAGATGGCAACGGGACAAACATGGACCGATTCTACAGGATTATCCTTAACTATTTCAAGAGTTTGCAAGTGAGTCATTGGTGTATCTACTGTCCTAATGAGGATAATGCACTAGACCTCTGATTACACGTGCACAACCTTAGTTTCTAGCTAATGCAATTCCACAATACTTGTATTAAAAAATAATCAAATCATAAAATCCTCCAGATTAGATGTGCTGTCTTGCCCAAAGTTGTAATTCCTAAGACTGCTAAATGATTAGAGTCAAGTGCTCCACTTGAATGTCACTATCTTCTATTCATTTTATTGTGATAGCTTGACAGCATACCATTTTTTTCCTCCAGCTCTCTGTATTAACATTGGTATCAAACTCCTGGCTTATTTCACATATAATTCTTCAATACTTATCCCAATTAAAAGAGTAATTCCTTTTAGAAAAGAAGAAGTATACTTCCTCCGTTCTTTTATTATTGCACCACTTGCCGTTTTAGGAAGTTTCACAAATATTGCACCATTTCCTCTTTAGGAAAAAAATTATTTGTGTTCACACTACAAATACCCAACATACCCTAGCTTTTTCACACTTACTTTTTAGTTTATCAATATATCACATGGGCAATTTTGTATTTTTACCTTTCTCTCTCTTACTTTTTTCCACTACCAAAATATTTGTACCCAACCCATATGGTGCAATAATAAAAAAAACGGAGGAAGTATATATTTAAAATATGGAAAGTTGATCTTGATGTTGTAACTTATACTTGGGCTGTAATGGTCGGTTTTGGACTGGTCGACTCTGTTGAACCCTGCTCAACTTTGCGCTAGTGAGTATTAATAATCGTATTAATAATGTGCTGCCACTTTTTTTGTCGTTCTGACACCTATGCATATAATATTCCCTGCTTTGCTTAGAAGCTCAAAAAACAGGGTCTTACTCTTTTATGTCGGTGGCCACGCAATGTAGCTAGCTATTATGGGGTTTACTTTGTCAAAGTTATAGAGGTTACTCGTTTAGTGTTATAGGGGTTACTCGGTTAGTTTCATATGGGTTAGTGTCTTGCTCTAGGAGTTATATACTTTAATACAAATAGTTATTCGGTGAGGTTAGTTGCGCAAAAACGTGTTGTACATTTTTTTTTTTTTTTTTTTTGATGATCAGAGTAGTAAAAATTATTTAGAGGGTAGTCCCTAAAAAAATGCATATAATTGAAGGGTTGGGGATTTAGAGTACTTTAGTGAATTATTGATAAAAAGAACTATAAATTCATGCTAATGCATGACATATATTATACTATGTATCAAAAAATACTTGTAAAACAAAGTGAAATGTTTGGTACATATTATTTAAAAAAGGTGAAATGTTGGGGGTTTTGAGTGCTATAGTGAATAATTGATGAAGGGATTGTATACTCGTGTTAATGCTTGTCATATATTATACTACGTATCCAAAAAAAATAAAAATAAAAATAAAATAAGAAAAAAAAAGTGAAATGTTAGTAGTAGTTCCTTGAAAAAAAAACAAAAAGAAAAACAGAAAGAAGGTATTGGATGGGTAGGTTTTTTTTGTTTTTTTTTTTTAATGATTAAAAAAAAAATTTAGTTGTGGGATAAGTAGTTATTTTTTTCTTAAAAAAAAAACAAACAAACTCAAATGCATGAGATTTGAGGATTGGGGATTTGGAGGCTTGTCGTGAAAACGACTCTGAAATTACATATACTTTGAAGGGAGAATGAAGAATCAATTACATACTACTAAAAGCGAATCTTAAGACACACTTATCAATGTATTATTAAAAAATTTCCCGCCAAAAGCACCTTCTAAAAAAATTATTGTTACTTAAGGAAAAAAAAAATTATATCTAAATTATAACATAATTTGTTTTATATAAAAGATTAAACTATCCATTATAAGTTTATAACTATTACATGTTTTTTAAATATTTTCTCTTGCATGCTTTTATTTTTATTATACTCTATATTTTTAATACTCAAGTCATTATATTAAAAAATTTATTATAAAATTGTCAAAAATATTTAACAACCGTGCATTGCACGGGATTTTAACCTAGTTTTATACATAAGGACTAATAAATCAATCTAGAATCAAAGAAGATGGAAAAATTGAACTCCAATTTTACATTAAATCAGACAAGGATATGACCCAAAACGATTCATTAACGTGCATCCAAAGAGCATCTGTATAACACGCAATCCCAAAATGAAATCAAAGAAGACTTCCACTATGACAGATTCTATCATTCCTTTCCAACTAAGACTGTTACTTTCAACTCAAACTAATAAGTTCAGGATACCCTTTTTTAGTCTCTAGAGTCTATTTCTTAACTTTAGTCCCAACAACAGAAAAAACCGAAACTAAGATCCAATAAGGGGTATTATAGTTTACTTCACAACTACGATAAATTCATATGAAATCCAATCAGTCAATTTCTGGTGAAAAGTACAAATTCTAAGGCTCTCCGTGTAACCCTCACCAAAGATTGACCCTTATCGAACTTATGAGTTGAGGATGGTAGCCTACTAGCCTCTCAACATATTGGCCCTTTTCTTTTACTTATTTTTGACTTATATTCCCATAGACTCTTAAACGAACAAAGCATAGCTGTTAGAATCCAACTCCTTTCGATGTATTAGATTCCCTTTAAGTGCTTTCCTAGAGTTTAGTTTATGTTTTCTTAACTTGAGGTCCCATTATTGTGTTACTGTCACATCAGTGTTCACTAGGGATTCTCCTTGTATGTCATTTAAAGCTCTTTAGAGGGTAAATGATTAATGAAATCTTAAGCCTTCTACCAAGTGTTGCTTTGCTTTTATGCTTGTTTGTTGTTAGACTTTTATAGACATTGTGTCTTACTTGCATAATAGCTCCCCTCCAAACCAACTTGACGCATTAAGAACTCGTGGTTCGGACCCGCTTGTGCCCGCCTTGAAGTATCGGTCGTCACAAGCCCCGACCAC